TAGACTCAAAATATAGCCATAGATCCTTGAATTTTATGATGTTGGTTATTTAGCTCTTCACATAAATCAAGTTTAGCAAATAATAGGATAACTAGAAGTCTATTTCATTAAATCTAACCTCAAAGAACATTTTCAGCTTTCAATTTCTCTGGGCATGACTTAGAGACCTATGCTTGGAGGCCTTAAGCATTAAGTTGAAAGGTTTGTTCTGAATGTCACTTAATCCACTTTCGATGTTAGTCACAACCAGCCTAGCACTACATTTCTAATAGACCAAAGTCAAACACAATTATTTTGTTAATGATGCTTATCCCAGTCATCTTTAGCTGTAACTATCCAACAAATATTGAGTCAAAGGGTTATTGAGAACGGCAACGAATTCAATCAAATGTATAGTCAACAGTTTCCATCAATAAACAGCTGAATTGTGACGACGTGGTGAAATGCTAAAACAAACAAAGCAGGTGAATTAAATGAGATGAGAGCATCCGGCTTGAACTACATAAGAAAAGTCGGCCAGTGAAGAGCTGTAGTCGAGTCACATTTGAGTAGACCACAAGAAACAAGAGTGACTACAATCGTTAATGGTACAATGAGATCAGAAGTAAGCATGAAACCCAATATGTCAAAAGTATTGCAAAACGTTGAACCAACGCCCACTGACCAGCAGTTCGTCAGTCTGAGGTTGGCGAAAACAAAATCTGTTCTAGCAAGTCTCTTCTATCGGGCATTAGAACTGCGCCAGACGCATGTACCACATCGGCCAAGTGATAAAAATCTTCTGCACAAGGATTCCGGTAGTTAACTCGGTCCAAGACATTCTCACTCGGGCCCCTCCAGCCTTGCAGAGTAGACCTGATAGGTGACCAGTCCACTTCCCACTAAAACACTCATTCCTGCACCGGCCAGACTAGCCAGATCACCTTCCGTGAGGCCGAATACAGCCGCCTTGACAACCGAAACAGCCAATAGAGTCATCAAGACGGTCACCAACCAGGCAAGCCAGACCTCCTTTGTTGCCGACAGGCCTGAAGGAAGCAGTCGCTCAGCCATCTCCGCTCTCCTCCAATCAGGCGCTGGTGCAGGCAAGCCGGTGGCCCCAGCACTGGGACCCCCGAGGGACCCTTCCAGTTGGCCAGAGGCCTCGGTGCCCCGGTCGTTGAGGCAGCAAAAGGCTGTGATAGTTCGTCGGTAGAAGGCTCCACATGTTACCAGGCCCAAGCACGCACGGCTCTCAGTCGCAGGACTCAAATTCGGGATAGTCCAGACAGACATGTCAGCTGACTCTTTGAGCAAAGATGCCGGTGCCCAAGATGGTTGGTGTACTTTGTTTGACTGAGGGAGCACACTAACTGCCAAATTCGAGTCGCAGGTACCGGCTAGGCTATGACGGATGTGGGCTGAATCTGTTCTTGAGAGCGTCAAAATGGCCGCCTTTCTGTAGTCCAAGTCCTCCCTGTTTGTGGTTAGCCAGACTTCGGAGGATACAATCTGGAGGCCCAGTCTAGTCGGTTCAAAGCCCTCAAAGTGCCCTTGATGGAGGTTGTCTTGAGTGATGCAATCAACCAAATGTTGCCACCGGCTTGGAAGTCTTGATTCAAGTTTGCAGTTTCCCTCCTGCCATAAGGTCCCGAGTTCATTTGACAATGTATCCTCCTCACAAGGGCAAGATGCGGCATCGGAGGCCGTCTTCAATGTCCA